AGATAGATATATTTAACGAGCTGAAATATAATTTGTCATTGTGTTTAACAAATAATAAATGAATATATACGTAAATGGAATATTTTGAAAAATCTACCATGGGGTGAATTCTTAACGCTTCGAAAAACAAAGCTACATAGTGGTATTTTCCAATTAGAATTATGGAGATTAGTGTTTTTTTAAACATTTGAAATCATCAGTCAATCATTATTAGACCACCATTAGAAACCTGGAAGCACCGAAACACGGGCGTTTCGTCCTGGTATGGGACACATCAGTAGTGCGCACCCACGACTCCCGCACCTCGCAGGATTTGAACCCGCGACCGTCGGTCTTGCGCTTCAACACTTAACTTTCGGACAACTGAGCTGGCATCCAACGGTGTTAATGTCTTACTCTGATTGACCTCACCCATTTGTCTTTTGTAGATACTGCCTACACCCGACAGGGTTGAACTCCATTGATCACGTCTTCTCAAATAGAACTCCGAGAATTTCCTCACGAGGCTAGTCACTAGTGAGCCCCTTTAACGATATTTTCGATTAGAGTTATGGAGATTACTATTTTTGCATATTCGAAATCATCTATAAACTCGTTTACTATTTGCTTTCGTCGTATATAAGTTTGATCTATTCTACTGCGGACTGAAATTCGTTATAAATTCATGTTACGGTTGTTTATAGGATCCATGTGTCTAGCTTTTTTATTGTCTGACTTATGCTTCATTCTAATATCGATATTTCAGTGATATTATCCATAAAAGACACGTTTTAAAAAAGTATCGTTATTTATATTTCTGTAGTAAAACTTCACTTCCTCGAGAAACCATCAGATCTACTAGTCATAAGCTAACACAGTTTATTCGTTTTTTAATAGGTAGGCAGATATAGAATAGAGACGTGGGGTATCATGAAGGAAAAAACATCATCAAAATTCCGTTTTATCAACCAATCTAACAATTTGATGCTGTATTATAAACCACTTGTTTTAATGATATTTTGACTGGAAAAACACACTGTGTTTGATTTTTCTCAAAATTCCGTTAATCATATTAACATTTCAGTTAAAGTTTATCATACCGTTTGTTGTTTCAAACCCTTTTAGCATATCTATATCTCAGTAAATAGAAAATTTTACATTACATTCTGATTTCCTGACAAAAGTAGTATAAAGTTTACGCACTTCATGCAATGCCTGGAAAAGAAATACACTTTTCTATATTTGAATAGTGTAATGCAAAGAAGATAATCAGTACTATGTGATACATATCGAATAATCTGATCACACATATACGTGTTAGGAACATCTATACGACAAATGGAGTGTATAGTTAAGTAAGAAGAAACGAGGTGAAGCTCACCATATCTTGGCTAATAGAATAACACAATTTTACCCACATAGGTTTATTTTTCATATTCATTAATGTTCTCAACAAGTAGATGTGTGATCAGATTGTTCGAAATTATATTACGCTAATCAATCACATAGTTTTCATAATCTTCGTCTGCTTATTATGCTATCCAAAATTTATCAAAAGGAATAAATTGCTTTAGAAAATTTCTATCTATCAGTGGTGGACTGAGTCATGTTGGTTGGGATCCGCGAGACGAAAGTCACCAATGGTTAGAGACCTTGAACGACATGGCTCAGAATCGTTCGCGATGGCGCAAGTGCATCCACTCTTTGTGTGCTTTTTAATTCTAACCTTCTGAATTCCTCATAATCTTTATCTTTCTCTTTCTAAATTAATCTCACTGAATTATACTTTCCGAATCATTATCTTTGGTTCGTAATCTTCTCCATTACTGCTAATACTTCTATTATCGCTATCACTCTTGAATTTGAACTGACAGCTACGTCTCTGTGCTGACGTTGGTATGGCAACATGGACTGATGTACTTACGTACGAAGTTCTGTGTTGTATCTGTCTGCCTGTCTGCCTATCTATCAATGGAACACTATAGTCAATGTTAACTGGCAAACAAACATTTAAAACTGATTTGTTTTAATTACAAAAGGTTTAAAATTTTAAAATTGTCGCATTACAATTTTCATGAAAAAGATTCATCGCATTTCTTAACTGTACAAAAAACAACAAATATAACTGAGTTATCTTTTTTTTAAGTTATAAATTCTTGAGTTTTATGTTTAGATTGAGAATCAGTAGATAACTTTTTTGATTGGTATGCTCAAATGGGTTGTATTGATCCAAGGTCATTCCGAGTTTTTATCGGTCACGTGTATTTCCCCAAGTTTCAGTTATTCTTATTGTTTATTTTCTTTTCATGCATAATTTATGTGAAGTTATTCAGTACTAATTTTAAACTTTTGAAAAGTTAGCGAACATAAATATTGATGACAAAAACGAAAAACTATTCCAAGGAACAGCAAGTCTTTTAAAACAAAACTAAGATTACTTAACCATATATATATATCATGAAAGGTTATTTCATACAATGTAACTTACTTCAGCCAAATAAATGGCTCCTTCATCTCCTAACTGATTACCAGATATATCAAGACTGATTAGCTTTTTATTAACAAATTGCATTGTTCCTAATCGTAGACTAATTAATTTTGCTTCCATTGGTCCAATTTCACAATATCTCAATCGTAATTTTGTTATACTAAATTGAACAAAATTGAACACAGAACATTGAATGAACGCAGTTTTTTTTTTGAAAAGTTAGGAGAAGTTAACTTGTTCATATTAGAGCATGAAATAATATCAAATCGACTTAAAGATGGATGGATAGTTGTTTTGACTTTGTATAAAACAATCAAACTGAAATGATTACTCACTACATTATCAGTTCAATGTTCTAGATGAATTTGTTTTAACTTCAACTGGTTAGTACACATCTTGCTGGTGAAAAAATTGAGGAAAATCTATGCTTGTTTCTTACTTATTCATTGGATAACATAGTGGTTTAGATTTATAGAAAGTGTAATAAAGTGTAGAAAGTGATTCACTAAGTAGTAGTAGTAGCTTGACAAAACTCTGAATGGAAATGATTTTAGTCAGTCATAATCATTTCAGAGGAATGATAAAATTTTGTATTGGCCTAATGTATCATACCACAATAACACGGTGAGATTAAATTATTAAGACAGCTAGAAAAATGAAAAATCAGAATAGTAGATGTATAAGTGATATCAAGAAAATGATTAAAACAGGTAGAATGGAAAGGTGTGTGTGAAGAAATTCTGGAACTACAGATTGAAAGGAAAATACAGAATGAGTGCATTTGAACCAAAACATCGGCCAAAACATAGGCCACACTTATTTACTTTTTAGTTTGGCTACCTTTCCAACTTTATTCCAACATGCTCCTATACCAGTTAATATTCCCTATTAAGGTAGGCTGTGGTAAAGTAACAGATATCTTAACCATCTTGCCACCTGTCATTTTCGCGTAATACCCAGTGTTGCCAGCTTAGTCGTTCCAAGAAAGCAAGTAATGGTCAAAACCCTTCTACTTATACAGATCTTTTACTTCGAAAAAGCTATTTAACTTACTGATCAGATTACCTATTGATCCTGACTTCTCCTTGTTGGCTTTTAGGAACGAACTCGATCAACGTCTACAAGCATAAGTGTACCCAAATGGACTGATTCGATATAACCCCTAGGTGTACACTGGGTGTGTTTTGGGGTTGTTGCTAGCAGTGGAATCTGAGATGTTTGTTATTTGCAATTCGGAAATTTAAACATTTAGAAATCTTATCGTACTCATTGATAAAAATAAGAGGCAATCTGGATACAGAAATTAAATAAATAACGTGATTTGGTTTCAAATAATAGGTATTAGGTTCAAGTCTTGCTGTGGACATTAACAATGAGATGTAGGTATATAGAAATGATGAGCACTGAAAAGTGTAAAACAGGAGTCTGCTTTACCACTTCTAGTTATAATCCAGAGATACAATCAGTCTCAATCAGAACAACAATCAAAGCAACTTACATTACACCAGAAAAATTAGTTAGGCATAATTTTATCGTAAAATTTATCGAATAAAATATTTACGGAAATAAATGTAAAGGCACAAACTGTTTGGACGTGAATATTCACCTATAACCTTTTTTAAAGTTTATCAATGAATCTTGTTAGTCTTCTCTCAATTGTAAAAGATGACCGTTTAAATCTGTATAATTATAATTTTGAGTTGGTGGAGAAAATTTTTGTATCTCATATGGATGATTGTGATGGAGTTTCGTTTTATGAACTGGATGTTTTAGTTGTGGAGCTTTCATTGTTCTTCTACTGAACAACATCATTGTTAGCACAAACTTCAGGTAGATGTGAAGTATTCGACTTTCTCCACGTATGAGACTTGTAGTTTGTTTTGTTACCTCTGGTCCTGATTAGTTGTTATTGACCTGTCATCAATCAAAATAAGGGTGCAAACAGTGACAGGTTTAAGGTCAATAACAATCAATCAAGATCGAGGTTAACCGATCAAGCTACGAGTCTGTTATGCTCATCAGTTGAT